CAAAAGCAACAGAGGGTACAAGCAAGAGCCTAGCAGCAAATGGATCCTGGGCAACAAAGGCATCAGAGCATCCTGACTTTCAAATGAGAGAAAGGGAGGACCATCAAGGCGGTGACTAACTTCATGCGTCAGCTTGGCTCAGCTGCAGTTGCTGGTTGTTGGCAAATCCCAGTCTAGCTGTTGCCCTGAATATTTTTGGAAGTGATAAACCTTTACAATCAGTTGGCTGGAAGGAAACAGGGGAGTGATTCAGCCCATTCTCCCTCACCCTCAGTGAGGCCCAATTAAGGAGCACAGTCCAATTAGCTGTGGCCATTCAACCTTGAGTAAAGAACACACAGCTATGGATGGCAGATAATCAAGGACAGCGAGGTACAAAATACATGGAGAAGGCATGGAGCAGGTGAAACCTGCAGGCAAGGAAAAGATTTCCATGGAAAGAAGAAAAACATGGTAAATCTTTTAAAACCAGGGCTCAAGAAAGAGCTCTAGATGACAATCAAAGTTCCAGAGAAGGATTAGCAGACCCATTTTTTTTAATCTCCAAGAAGATAATAGGCAAGAAAATGCAATGAGTACATCAGCCTGGGAAACTCCACATCTGTCAAAAAAATGGTTCTAGAGAAGAAATAGAATACAAAGCAGGAATCCAGGAAGTTCCAGATGAAAAAGACCCACAGAGCAATCACAACAGCGATGCGGAGGAATGAGAACTGCAATAAAACACATCAAAATTAAACTTCAGGGGACCACAGAGTCCTGAGCTGAGCTGGAAGCGGCCTGGCAGTCACAGTACCTGGGAAATCCTGAGCCACAGCCTAGCCTGGGCTCCATAGTGGGAGACAGAGAAGCAAAGCAACACTGCAGTCATCTCCCGGGAATACAGTTAACCAGAGAGCCCTGCTGGAAATGGATTTTCTGTCTAGACTTCTACCCAAAGCCAAAGAAGAGAAGTAACACACTTCCAACCCAAATATCCCCAAACATGGAACTTGTATGTAATGTCTGGTGGAAAACTACAGGAGAAAATGCTCTTCTTTCCTGGAGGACACTGCCATCCAGTTCGAGTTCTCAACCCCTCAATCCCTGAGCGGGGGCTCCAGGCTGCTCAGTCTTTGAGCTGGGTGTTTCAGGATGGGTTGTTCACCTTGCCCATGAGGAGAAACATAGCCATGACCATCCTTAGCTTCTCCCTAAGTGCTTAACCAAGTACCTATGGAGAGTAATGGCTCAAGAAGAAATCTGCTGACTGTCTTCCAGATATACCTTTTAGACTTTCTCTTCCATTTAAGAATAGACAATAGCCTTGAAATACCACCCTGGTAAGAATCCAAATGAAGGAGAAAAATATAAACAGATTTCTCCAGCTTATGGGGTTGTCTCTGATGCCAAGAAAAGAGAATTCTATGACAAAGGAGGAGAGCAGGCAATTAAGGAGGGTGGAGCAGGTGGTGGTTTTGGCTCCCCCATGGACATCTTTGATAAGTTTTTTGGAGAAAGAGGAAGGACACAGAGAGAAAGGCGAGGTAAAAATGTTGTGGATCAACTCAGTTACCTTAGAAGATTTATATAACGGTACAACAAGAAAACTGGCTCTGCAGAAGAATGTGATTTGTGACAAATGTGAAGGCCGTGGTGGTAAAAAAAAAAAAAGGGGGGGGTGCAGTGGAGTGCTGTCCTAAGTGCTGAGGTACTGGGACGCAAATACGAATTCATCAGATAGGACCTGGAATGGTTCAGCAAGTTCAGTCTGGGTGCATGGAGTGCCAGGGCCATGGAGAAAGGATCAGTCCTAAAGATAGATGGAAAAGCTGCAATGGAAGGAAGATAGTTCAAGAGAAGAAGATTCTGGAAGTTCATATTGACAAAGGCATGAAAGGTGGCCAGAAGATAACATTCCATGGTGAAGGAGACCAAGAACCAGGATTGGAGCCCGGAGACATCATCATTGTATTAGATCAGAAGGACCATGCTGTTTTTACAAGATGAAGAGAAGACCTTTGCATGTGTATGGATATACAACTAGTTGAAGCATTGTGTGGCTTCCCAAAGCCCATCTCCACTCTTGATAACCAAACCATAGTCATCACTTCTCATCCAGGTCAGATTGTTAAGCCTGGAGATATCACGTGTATGCTAAGTGAAGGCATGCCAACTTATTGACGACCATATGAAAAAGGGTGCCTGATCATTGAGTTTAAGGTAAACTTTCCTGAAAACGGCTTCCTCTCTTCTGACAAACTCTCTTTGCTGGAAAAACTCCTTCCTGAGAGGAAGGAAGTAGAAGAGACTGATGAAATGGATCAGGTAGAACTGGTAGACCTTGGTCCAAATCAGGAAAGACGGTGCCATTATAATGGAGAAGCTTACAAGGATGATGAACATCACTGTAGAAGTGGTGTTCAGTGTCAAATCTTGTAATGGGACCAGTGAATAGCACCCACTACTGGCATTTTAAATGCAGTAGTGAATGAGTGAAGGACTAATCATAATAAGCTCACTACTTGCTATTGTTTTTTGTTGTACTACTACAGTGTTTTAAAAGTTAAATGAAGAATAAACAAATATAAAAGCTCTGAAAAAAAGAACAGACAACAACTGCCAAGTTTTATACTGGAAAAGTATTGTTTAAAAATGAGACATCGCTATACATCCATATTCATTGCTGCACTATTCACAACTGCCAAATTATGGAAACAGCCCAGATGCCCTAGAGTAGATGAGTGGATCCAAAACCTGTGGTACCTATACACAATGGAATTTTACTCATCCATTAGAAAGGATAAGATTAGGTCATTTGCAGGGAAATAGATGGACCTAGAACAAATCATATTAAGCGAGGTAAGCCATTCTCCCAGAGACAAATGGCATGATTTCTCTCATATGTGAAAGCAGGTTTAAACTATAACTGGATATGAGAACCTATACACAGTTACAGGCATTTATACACAGTCAAACCAAAGTAGGATACCAGTAGGTGGGGAGCCCCAAGGCTTAACTTTCCTGAACACATGAAATACTATTTATCAAAGTGCAGGAAATGGAAACATGAGTTACTTATGCTGGTGGTGGTAGTGGTGGTCATGGTATGTGTGTGTCCTTTTTCTTCTTCTGTTTCTTAGGGGAGCAAAAGGGGTGCACAGACAAGGAGAGAGGAAGGGTGAACAATGCAATTGTATTCAGTATACACTACATGGACAATTAACTATGCAACCTGTGTCAGGCATGGGAGGGGAAACTGGAGGGTGACATCCTCCAAAACAGAAATGAACCCGTTGCCTGAATGGTGTAATGGTAACCTTTCTGTACAACATCTTGTTAAAATTATATTTTAAAAAATGAGACATCAAGGCTGGGGATATGGCTCAAATAGTAGAGCTGTAGCTGTGAATAAAAAAACCAAGCAAGTGCAACAAGCCCTGGTACTGGCATGTGCACACACACATAAACACATAAACACACACACACACACACAACAAGCCATCCATGTCACAATCTGAATGTGTCATTCTGCATTTATATATTCCTTATGTTTTGCTACATCTTAAGATGGGGCTTCGTTATGTAGCCCAAGTTGGCCTGCATGATCCTCCTGCTTTTACCTCCTGAGTGCTAGTATTACAAGCTGCATCGCTGTGCCTGGCTTAGTAATGTTTTGTAACTCTACTGATTTGCAGCATAGGGACCTGCCAAGTTTTGTGAACTTTCTCTGCAAAGGGCCAGATAATAAAGTTTTAGTTCTGTGGATCCCAAGTCTCTTTTGCAACACCTCTGTGTCATTTTAAAGTGACAAACAGCCATCTCTGTGTTCCAATAAAATTTCATTTACAAAATGAGCAGCTTCTGCATGTGGTCCACGTGCTGTCACGTGCTGCCACCTGCACACTATTGCTTTGATCAAAGTTTCAGACCTCCCCTCCTACCCCCCCTCAACTTTACACACTCAGCACTTTTTCTCTTTTATTTTCCAGTCCTGGTCTGAATTTAGGGCTCACAGTTGCTCAATTTTGCTAGCTACATTGATTCTCTACCACTTGAGCCATACCTCAAGCCTAGCTTTTTGCTAGTGATTTTTGAGATGGAATATTGTAGACTTTTCTGCCCAACCTAGCATGGAATAATGATCCGCAGGACCTCACCCTCCTGAGTAGCTAGAATTACCAGTGTGAGCTTCCACAGCGTCTCCCTCCCCTAAACATTTCTTAGTAGCTTGACTTGGCATTATCTGCTTGCCTCTGCTTTTCTCTCTTAACATCTATCCTCTTCTGGGAAGATGAGTCAATACCTAATCAGAAGATGAGATTTTTTCTATGAGACACACTTCCCCATTGGGAATACCTTTGTGCTCCTATGCCCCGTCCCTGGGGAAGGCACAGTGCACTGCCCTCTAGAGTCCAAACTTCTCATAGGCCTGATCTCAGGTGAATGTCACTCCAGGAGCCTAACAACAAGGATGCAATGGGTCCATCTAGAGGGAGCCCCGGGGCCTATGTCTACAACCCCTCCCAAACGGTGACGTCACCTTGAAAACCAAGTCAGGTGGATGTGCTGGTTCACGTGGCAGGTATGACCTCTGAGCCCTGCGTTACACCTTTACACCTCATTGTGTGTCACAGGGACCTCAGAAAGCAGCATACACATGGTGACAGGTTTTTCCCAAATCCCTTCATGATGCTAAAGCCAAATCCTTCACACTAGGTCCAGATCTCCATCTATTTCCTAGGGCTGCTACAATAAAGCATGGCACACTCAGAGGCTTGACACAGCAGGCCTTCCTTCTCTCATAGTTCTGAGGCCAGGAGTCCAAACAACGTGTAGAGTATTGGGCAAACTCCAGAGCTTCCTCTGCGGGCTTACTCCCTCCCGTGGAACAACTCATCTCTGAGCCAACCACCCTCCAGTGAGGAAGAAAAATGAGCGGCACTTTACATTCACACACCAAGGAAGTGATCGGGAGACACACGCAGCAGGCCGCAGAGGACCCCGCGCTGGGAACTTACAGGAGGAGTGGATACTGGGGAAGCTTTTGCGGCCCTCTGATACCAGGTCTGGGTCACCTGTGCAGTGCATTTCCGAGTTCATCACTCCATCTGGAAAGCAGCGGTAAAAGAAATCGGGGCGAGGTCTACAAAAGACACCATGGACATTTTCAATATAAAATGCTGCCATCACACAGGAGCCCCGCGCTGACCCGCCCTGCCCCTTCCTCCTGCCCCCATGTACCATCCTCACTGGGCCTCTCCACACAGCCCTCCCAGACACGGTGGTTGGGGTCAGAAAGCTACGTGTTGGGAGCCTTGCTTGCCACTTGCTAGTGTTGTGGCCTTAGGGAGGTCACAACCTCTTTCAGCCTCAGTGTGAACACCTGTAAAAGGGAGAAATCAAAATCTAGCCCAAGGGGAAGTCCTGAGCGTTATTAACCTGTCTTACAGGAGGTGCCTGAAGACAGCCCTCACAGAATAAAAGATACTTCTTGCCTCCATCTACTCCTCTGTCAGTCCAGACACTGCTCCCAGAATCTAGCCGTGTGTGTCCCTGTATCCTGCATTTCAGTGGCCAACAGCCCTTCCTCCAACAATAGGGCTCACTCCGCCTTACTGCGAGGCCGACAGCTCCGCTGTAGGATGTGCTCAGCACAGGGACCCAGGCTGGCAGCCCTGGCACAGGACAGGGCTCAGAGGCCTCTAGAGAGAAGAGAAGCTGGGGTCCTGAAGCTGAGCTTCCCGCAGCAACCTCAGCTAAGGTTTATTACATACTTACAGGATGTAGACACGCCTGCCACATCATGTGACTTCTAGGAGACCCACACACACACACCATATCATGACTTCTAGAAGCCTCCCACCACATCACATGGCTTCCAGGAGGATCCCCACCATACTACACAACTTATAGAAGAATCCCCAAAGCCAAGCCAGGGTCTTAGGAAGAGGGCACCCCTATCCCAGGTCACACAAACCAGCAAGTGGCAACAACAAGGTCTGAACCCCCATATTAGACCCTATGCCTTCACTTGTCACCCCAAGCTCAACTGCCCCACTCAAGCAAGGATTCGTACATGCATATGCACCAAGTCGTTACATGCACATTCGCTGCTTCATGGTAATTCAACCCATGCTTAAACCCCGAGCACAGAGGCTTTGCTGATGCTGCCAGCACAGCACACGGTTCTGTATAGACTGGACCAGTGGACACACGCAGACTCATTGGGATCTAGGCAGCCTCAGCAAGCTGTCAGCGCTGCTGGCACATTGCCTTTCCCCAACTCAGCCAGTGTTTCTCTAGTGTGAGTCTGCCTGCTCAAACAAACCTCGGGGAGGGCTGGCCTGAGAACCCGCATTTTATCTGAGTTGCCAGGACAATGCTGAATACACAGAGCAGGAACTCTGCAGCTCTTATGTGTGTATGCATTGATGGATTTTTATCCACTATTTGCCCTTCAGGGCCTGGTCAGCACCCAGCGTCAGGCTGACATTCAATAAATGTTGAGGTTTTGAAAAAAGACTTAATTTAACCAATGCTAAGAGGTAGTCAGTGTCCAAGCTAGGCATCGAATTGAGGCCTCTGGACTTTCAATCTCTACAGAGATGTGTTCTCTACTCAGCAGTCAGAGGAAAAGGAAAGACAGATAGAGAACAGAAATCATTTCTCAGGGGTAGTAAGACAAATATGCCATAACCCAAATCTCAAAGGCTAATATGTAGACCTCATCCCAAAGAGAAGAATAAGTAAGGAAACTCATTTATTTATTAAAGGTCCAAACTGACAAGTGGCTGTGGTAAAACCCAGAGGTAGCAGTGGCTGGAGCACATTACCAATCTTTATCTCTCAGACACCCATGATCCAGGGGCAGGCCTGAGATCACAGGAAGATGCACTCAGGATACTTCCTCACTACCAATCTCCGGCTCTCTAAAGTATAGCTTTATAATTCAAAGGAGAAGAAAGATCTGTGCTGAAGGCAGAAAGCTCGATTTAAGGGAAAAGCAGAAGAGCTCAAATCTTTCCCACCCCGTATCCCCTGGCCAGGTCCTTCATACTCTAAGTCATCATTTGTTTCTTTTTGGAACTTACCTTCCCACTATTAATTTAATAGTGTTTGTGCAGACTCCATTCAAAGCAAGAGCCAAGGACACCGCTACAAAACAAAACCAACAGATATAAAAATAACCAGCTGGATCTCAAGTCAAAAACCACCCCTGTCACCACCATCATCCTCCCAGAATCTTTCTCATCATCATCACCAACATGATTATCACCATCTTTGCACATCACCGCCAATACCACCACCACCATTATCATTGCACCATATTTATCATCATCATTATCATCACCACTATTATCATCACACATCACCTCAATCACCACCACCATCACATCAGCACCATCACCACTATCTTTATCATTGTCATCATCATCATCATCACCATCATTACCATCATCATCACCATCATAATCACCACCACCACCACCACCACCACCACCGCCATCATCACAGTTACCTTTTGCTGCTTAATTTATGACAATGGATAGATGAAACAATTCTTTAAAAGGGGGGCATTTTAGTTGTTAGAGTAAAATGTACTTGGACCAGGAATATGGAGAATAAAATGTAACATTCCAAGACCATATGACATGAAATGTATCTCTGCTCCCTGACTGAAATTTTCAACATCACAGAAGATGCTGTCTATCTTTTTCTGCCCTGATACAAACAGATTTAATAGTACATCATGCAGAATTTCTTTTACTGGTAGCAAGAAACCTAATATTTTTATTTCCTCCTAGCAACCTTCTTCGACATAATTCTAATGAGAGCAGCTGCTGGACTCCCACTGAAGAACTGTCACCCCCAGCCACCTGGCCACCGGCTCACTAATAACCATCACCTGGCAATGGCTGCCTATTTGTTTTCAAACAAATCACCGTTTCCCAGAAGGTGAAGAGTCCAGGTGGTGCTTTTTGACATCTAAAATGGCAGGGACTTCTGGAATAGATTATTTTAAAGTATGCAGTCCAGGGACCTTCTTGAAACCACTTAGAAAGTCTCTGCTGGATAAAGTACAGACCTTCTAGAGAGTGCCAGTAACAGGAATCCGCAGGCTTTCCCTGCAAGCCTCTCCCTCTCCCCTGCGGCTTATCAGAAGTGCACAAAAGGTACAGTCATCACCATCAAGGCGACAGCAGCTCAAAATGCCTTGCCTAAGCAGTAAAAAACTATTGAAAGCCCATTCCATTGCTGTGTTGAATACTAAAGCGTGGGAGCTACCATTTCCCTTTGGCAAATATTAAACTGTTCAATACTAGCCGAGATTTATGTAAGAACAGAGCCGTGGAAGAGCTGTTTTCAGGAAGGAATTGCCTCCAGCAATTTATGGCTATCAAAGGAGACAGATGTGTTGTTCTACAAGCAGAAAGTACCAGGGAAATGACCAATGCGATCACCCTGTGCACAGACCACAGACAACAGGCAAAAACTCCCGCTCGCTTTCAACAAGTTGTAGGAAGCAGGGCAGGGGAGGGACACACAGAAGGGAACGCCTTTGTGGAAGGAAAAACTAATCCGGCCCCAAGTGGAGAGCAGAGCATGAGCCAGAAACACAGCAGCACCATCAAAACACCAAGCGTGCGTAAATTAGAACTGAGCGTAGAGGACTCAGAAAGATCCGCTAATAGCATTCTGTGCACACCAGCCTTTCCTTCCTAAAAGGCCAGATCTTCTTTTTTTCTCCCCTCCTCTCACCCAGAACACTGGTGTTCTCTTTTACAGAGAAAACTCCTAAGGTTATAATGGTTGTATTCTGTCCTGGAGCCAAAACAATGAACAGCCTGTGAAATGGGAAGGGAACAACTGGGTTGGTGTTGGCCCACTGCAGCAGGATCCCTGCTGGCTGGCTGTCCCAGTGTGGCCAAACTCAGTCTTGCCCCGTTTGGAGCACGGCCTTGGCACAGATGAGCTCTCCACCACACACCATCACTGGCATGTCTCAGGGCCCCACAATAAATCTTCCTACCCAGCTACACTGATCCACAACCCCATTCACTCCCCCACATGCTGCGCCTGATCAGCTTCACAGCACAGAGCAGTTATTCAAAAAGCCTGATGTAGCTGAGCTAGAGAATATGCGGGCTGTGACACCACCAACAGCTCCTCTAAACAGCTGGAGGTGACAGAGAAGGAAGGGACTTGGGATTGGTGGCGATTTGTGGCAGGGTTGGTTCAGCGTGCTGAAAGTACAGAGCTGATTCATGTTTTCATCGCAACAGCCCAATCCACGGGAACCAACTCAGGAACCTCTCGCAATACCATTCACAGACAGCTGGGCTCAGAGCAGTTGCCTGACAGGCTGGACAAGCAGAACAATGCATGGTCCTGATACTGTTAATGCTGACTGACTCTTAACATTGTGAGTTTGACAGAACCATCTGAGAGCCAGAGCAGGCTATCAAATTCAAAGCAATGCATCCTGTGGATTGGTTGGTGAGGAGCTCTCATACTGAGAGCACCACTGGATAGAAAGAAGCATTGCAGGTGATTGGGTGATCCTGCTACAGAGATAGCAGGATCGTGACGAAGTCCTGGCTGTGCTTCAGCCTAAACAGCTACCAGCCCAATGCCGCACATGCAAAGGCTGCTATCTCCCCCAGCACCAGACGGCCGGATGGGTCCACTGCGTGTATGCAGTGAAGGGGAGTCCTTGGGGCTCATGTTGAAGAGCTTGGGTTGAAGTATACTGAAGACACCTGAGTAAGGCAGGATCCCAACAAAGAAGCCGCTCTCTCAGACAACCCCAATGTTTCTGTCTTTGGTTTTAAAGGTCATTCTTACTTCCACCTCTTACTTCCAAGACTTCCGAAAAGCAATGATTGTTGTAAAACTCATGCGCAATGAGGGCCCTCCATCATTTTTACAGGACAAGTGCTCATTTATTTCAGCCAATAATTCTGCCTTCTCAGTGAGCATACAGGAGGCAGAAGACGCTGAACAATTTTGAGACGTCACCTTAAGGGAGATTTAGCTGAGAATGAAAACATCTGCAGAAGGTAACTGGGAGCTACTTATGGCCACTGCAACCACCCAGCTCTGAAAGCCAGCAGGAAATTATTGCCACCGCTACGAGAGACAGCTCTTCCCCACTACCATTTATCTCAGGACTGTGCCGAGAGAGCAACTGAGAGAAAGAGGGAAGCCCAGTGACTTCCAAGCTAAATAAGAGGCTGTCTAACTGGGGGGGGGGACCATTGTGACCCCTGTCCACACACTGCCTGACCCCTGGAGCCCAGAGTTAGAAGGTATCAGTACTCTTCATAGAGACACTGGTCTTTCTGCCATCTCAGGTGAAGAGACCAAGGCCACGTGACCAAACTCCAAGACATTTGGTGTGTGGGGGGGGGTGCGGTACACACCAACTTGAAGGAGGGCCACCCCAGGCTGTTCTCAGACTGACGACTTTGTAATCAATCTGGAGAAATGAGTTGAATCAGAATCTCTCTCCAGAAAGCCTGAGCCAAGAAACAAGGTAAAACCAGTGGTTGGCTGTGGTTCACCACTGTGAACCCAAGACTCACACTCACCACAGGGCTGGGGGAGCAGCGATGTAACCCAGGTATGGCCTTGAGCAGGGAGTGGGAAAGGAAATAAAGGAATCTTTCAGGCAGAGCTGGTCATGAGAGGAAGGGCTGTCCTTTCCCCTCCTGTCCCAGCTCCCCACCACATTCCCCCAATCCCCCCGCCCCCGCAAGCACCTCGGTTGTGTTCTCTTCCCCTCCTCTTCTTGGAGTCTGTGAGATTTCTTATTTTAGCCCCGTAATGAAGCCACTAATTTATTTGAGCTAATTTGAGAAGGACACTGTTTTGCTGTTCTTTTCAAGTAGACAGGGCCCAACTAAAGCCTGGTTATATAAAACCAGCCCTCAACTCTTCTACTTCTCCTTGATTGAAAGTCACACTTGTTCCTTCACCAAGAAAAGAAATGACTGTGTATTTGGCTCTGTTTGCGTTTCTCTCAAGCTCCATAATTAACAAACATATCCTTTGGTAAGAAATCTCTCTCTCTCTTTTTTTTTTTTACAAATTTATTATCACCCTAGAAGGCAAAATCCATACTACATACCAAACACAAATTTAAAGGCAAAGATTGGGATAACTTTAATATGCAGTGTCAACAAAACCATCAACTTAATTCAATTTTCCTCAGGACCAAAAAACTAAAAATTGAGCTACAGGTTAGTGTATGCCAAACAAGTCAAATATTATTAGCTATATCTCACACCTGTCACTTAAAGTAGCATTTGATTACTATTCGGAGCAGAGAAACATTCAATTCCCAAATGTCACACTTGTGTCACATGCCAACCTGGCTAGGCACAGGGATAATTTATAACCATAGTGTTACAATCAATGACAAAGACGAAAGCATTCTTCACCTAACAGCAATTGCTTAACTGCTGAAGCATTCTCCAAGGTGAAGGTTGAGTTATGGGCCTTGCTTTCCATATCTGTTTTAGTTCATACTTGTTTTTACTTCCTTCCTGAATAGGCCTAGAGTATGGGGCCTATTATACATAAATACATAAGATTGGGCAGAATTTCAACTTGGCTTTGTCTGAGCCAAGAGGCACCCTGCCTGTGTGGCTAAGCAACCCAGATTTCTGATGTCACGCCATTTCAGCAGTCAGCACCAAGGACAGCAATCATCAGGCCCCTCTGAACTATCCCCACTTACAAAATAATTGCCTAATTGGCTCTTTGGCTTTAAAGTTCATTGTATATACCATAGAATTGAGAAATACAAGGGGAGGGGAGAGTCGAAGGGGAGTGAAGATGTTGAAGTGATAACACAAATCAAGATTCATTGTACACATACTGCTTTGTTAAAAGGCAAAAAAATTTCAATAGATAACCCAAAATTAAGTAAAAGAAGGGGTGGACTGGGAAGGATGGGTGAGAACGTTCAAGGGGGTGACACTGGTCAAGAGGCACTATATTCATAAATTGTTTTGGTGAGTGGCAACTGCTTTGTACATCTACTTAAAGATAATACAAACATTCAAAAATAAGAATAAAATATATCCTGTCTTATTTCTCCTGAGCTGAATCTGACTGCATGAAGAATCAGTTGGGTAGGTTGCAACTTCAACTTTTAAAATGTGATGATCTCATCAAATTCATCCCCTTCCCTTAAAACAAGAACTGAATACTCTACCTAAGAAGGCTTCCTTAATTTCAGTCTTGTCTGTTCGTCGGATGATTTTCACCACACAAATAACAGCCAAGGGTGTGAGGAAAGAAATTGCCTAGAAGAAATAACAAACAATCCTTTATGAGGATGTCGGTTTGCATTCCGAAGGGCTGATTGATAATTAGTTGGAGTTAGCTTCATTTCCACTCACTCACAGGACGCTCACACTAAACTCCTGACCTCAAACAAAGGCGCATGATTTGTCTATATTTAGAGAATACACAGTAAACCAAAGGTCTGATTATAGGCTAGAATGGATTTGTAATTGCTGGGAGCCACACTTAAAGTGGTGGCTTTTTAAACAGAAAAGAGTAGTCTGTGATGGGTGATCAGTGCCAGGAACACCCCTCTTTTTCTCCACAGTGGAAGGTTGGGGAGCTGTGGGCTTCTCCTTCCCATCTCTCTGGCAACATGGTGGTGTGGGGCTGCTCAGAGGCAGTCAATTCATTCCCTTTTGGTAATCTTCTGTAGAATATCCATTTTCCCTGCACACTTAAAGCTTAGCCCTTTTGCATAGTACCCTTCCTCTCCCTTTTCCAAGTCCCTTCCTCCACACCTATATTCAACACATGCGTCATCAACCTAGAGGGCCCCAGAGGCAACCAAGACTCAATGCACTGCAAGACCTACCACAAGGCAGGGTCTGTGCACAGTCCCATGATTTCAGGACTAGTGCTAGTGATGGCCCCGTGACCAACGATTCTGGGCTCAAGGATTAAATGCTGTGTATGAGGGCACACAGCTGGTGAGCAGCAAGGTCAGGCTTCAAAGGCCAGGGTTTCTACCTCCCCTATGGAGTCTCTTGAATCCAGTTTCCCATACTTAGTAGATTGCTTTGGAACATTCCAGAATACACGCACAAAAATCATTTACATTACTTCCCTATGAGGAACTTTTCGGGATCACAGTATCATATCCAACACGTCCATGAATAAACCAGGGGTGTGAGGAGGACAACTGGGGACCAATATGATTTGCAAATCTGTATCTAGGTTTAAGGGAGATGTTGCGTGTTGTCGGGGTGAGGGGCTTCCTAGCAGTACAGTCATGACCAGAAGATGCTCTTTTATAAAAAGAAAAAGAAACACTCATGCGGAACACTGGTAGCTCCTGCCTAGAATCCTAATTACTCAGATCTGAGAATCACAGTTTGAAGCCAGCCCAGGCAGAAAGGTCCATGAGATTCTTATCTCCAATAAACTACTCAGAAACAAAAACAGAAGTGGTGCTGTGGCTCAAGTGGTAGAGCACTGGAATTGAGCAAAAGAAGCTCAGAGAGCTAAGTTTAAGCCCCAGGACTGGAAGAGAGAGAGAGAGAGAGAGAGAGAGAGAGAGAGGAGGGGGGCAGAATTCATCTAAAAGACCACAATCTCTCAAAATACTTTGAGAGTGCTCTACACACTACTTCCAGACTAACTAAGCTCAAGCACTTTGGGAGATTCCTGCTTGATGCCTGTCTTCCGGGGTCACTTATCCTTCACTTGTTACTGCCATGGGATGGCGAGTGGCGTAACTAGCTACATGATCCCTGCTATGAGCTCGGACTATGAATGACAGAGGTTGTTTGAAAGTCAAAGAAACCTTGTCACCACAGAGGTCATGCAGATGCCTGTGACACCAGTGTAGAGCAGGTGTGTAAAGGAGACTTGGAGCTGACACCGACAAGGCCTGGAAGCTTCCCAGGGCTGCTGCCAAAGCAGTATTCATCCAAGGAGCAGTTCCAGCAAGTGAGTGATCTTGGATGAGTCTCACACCTGCCTAACTGCAAGGCTTGTTAATATATGTATGTGGCCAGTCCACGTTTTTAACAAGCATCTTCTAAGACAGCTTTGTTAGTGAGTGACTTGGTAATATCCTCGCCAAGTCAAACCTTACACAGGAGACTAAGAGAACAGGAGAAAACGTCACAAGACAATGCCAGCCGGGAGACTCCAATTTGCTTCTGGACAGAATTAAAACCCCACACAAATTATGAGTGGGGAAGAGTTTCTCACAATGTCCCCAAAGAATGTCAAAGACTAGAATGGCACAGTCTACGTGGGAGATGAGGCACCAGGTTGGAGATCTGTGGACAAACAGACCCGGGGAGCGGGGTGGGGGGGCTGAGAAGTCATCTAGCCACCAAGAGATGGCCAGCTGGGGGCTCCATAGCCATGGGCATTCAACGCAACTCTGAGCCTCAGTTTACCTGTTGCTAAGTGAACACACACACACAATTGGACTTACTACAACCCACTTCACAACTTTCCTAGGTAAATGCCTTTCAGTATCTTTTCTGCACCCAACTGCTTCCCGAGCCAGAACTAAGCACCTGGAATGGCAGAAGCTCCCTGCTGCAAGAGCTCTGCAGGCAAAGGAGTCACAGCCTTCAGAGGGAGTGTGCAGCTCCACGCTAGGCCCTGCAAGAGAAGCATCTGTGCAGCACTGTGGGACGCACTGTCTCCTCCTCACAACAGCCAGGCCCCGCGGCTTCTTCAAAGCACACATCTCCTATATCCTCAGGATAGCTCAGTGCACAGTGAGAATGAAGAGAGGCATACTTACATTTAGCATCTATCCATGTGACTAATTCCTTCAACTAGCAGTTGGAATTGAGAAATGAGCAAAGAAGCCAATATGTTATGGGTACAGCTTGTTACTGAGGCGCACGCAGCTCTGATCCGGGTAAACGTGGAAGAACCAGCACCTCCCCACCTGCACCAAGCCACGGAGAATCACACCTGTGCACCTACCTGCTTCAGCAAGCCAGGGGAGAACACACCTGTGCTCACCTTCCCCACACTCAGCAAACCAGCCACACCTGTGCACACCTCCCCTGACTCAGCAAACCAGAGTCACACCTGTGCACACCTCCCCTGACTCAGCAAACCAGTCACACCTGTGCACACCTCCCCTGACTCAGCAAACCAGAATCACACCTGTGCACACCTCCCCTGACTCAGCAAACCAGTCACACCTGTGCACACCTCCCCTGACTCAGCAAACCAGAGTCACACCTGTGCACACCTCCCCTGACTCAGCAAACCAGAGTCACACCTGTGCACACCTCCCCTGACTCAGCAAACCAGTCACACCTGTGCACACCTCCCATGACTCAGCAAACCAGAGTCACACCTGTGCTCACCTCCCCTGACTCAACAAACCAGAGTCACACCTATGCACACCTCCCCTGACTCAGCAAACCAGAGTCACACCTGTGTACACCTCCCCTGACTCAGCAAACCAGTCACACCTGTGTACACCTTCCCTGACTCAGCAAACCAGTCACACCTGTGCTCACCTCCCCTGACTCAGCAAACCAGAAACCAGTCACACCTGTGCACACCTCCCATGACTCAGCAAACCAGAGTCACACCTGTGCTCACCTCCCCTGACTCAACAAACCAGAGTCACACCTATGCACACCTCCCCTGACTCAGCAAACCAGAGTCACACCTGTGTACACCTCCCCTGACTCAGCAAACCAGTCACACCTGTGTACACCTTCCCTGACTCAGCAAACCAGTCACACCTGTGCTCACCTCCCCTGACTCAACAAACCAGAGTCACACCTATGCACACCTCCCCTGACTCAACAAACCAGTCACACCTGTGCTCACCTTCCCTGACTTAGCAAACCAGAGAAAAATATACCTGTGCACACCTTCGCAGACTCAGCAAGCCAGGGAGAGTCACATGTGCACATCCTCTAGCTTCCTCCTCAGGCCTGAAGCTGCTGCGGTTCTGTCCCCAGTGCCCGCCTGGCAGAGGAAGGCAGACCTGGGCAAGTGGAGGGGGCTTTGCTCCTCCTTTCCCTGAGACTGTTTCTGCTCCTAGTGTTCTATAAATACAAAAAAGTGCACAATTCCTGGGATGAAAGCCAGGGTAGGAAGAGGATGGGGGGGGTGCTTGTAAAGTGGGACTGCGAGAGAACCACAACTCTCCCAAACTCTGGGGTGCCAGGCAGCAGCAACCTGTGAGTTGGCTTCTGCTCACGTGTCACAGGCAGGGCTGCTGACCGGACGGACACTCCTAGATTAGGATGACGAAAGATAGCAGGGACTGAGGCCTTAAGAAGACCATGGTATGTGTATTCTAGGCACTTTGCATAAATTAATTCCATTAACCTCACCAGCATGCTCCTGTTTAATGGATAGAAGGCAAAGACACAGAGAAGTTAAGCAACATACTGAAAGACACGCAGTGAATAAGTACTAAGACAAGGTTTTGCTACTTGGCTCTTAAAGTCATTTCCACTCCTGTAACCACAATTATAGCAGTTTCCACCCTGGAAAGTTAAGACTTAACCATAATAAATGTTTCTCCAGACTTGGATACGCACTCAGATGTAGTGACTGAAGAGTGATCACCACTGGGTACCGGAGGAACTGGTCTGAATCCGGCACCCACAGTGTGTCAGGGGTTTCCTCCCACATGTTAAATCTTCTAAGCACTCTGCAGGAAACAGTACAGATCGCAGATCTAAAGTACAGAGAGAAAAGCAAACTGGTCCCACGGCTATTGGGACCAGGAACCCTGTATTAGGCTGCCGTATTTCTGGGCTGTCATCATGAATCTCAGGATCACTTTTGGCCAACAGCTTCATTATACAGATGGGGGAAGAGGCTGGGAAAGAGCGTTCTGCAAAAGACTGAGTGCACGCATAATGAGACGATAATCTCGATCATGAAGGACCACTCGATTCCTGGCTGGTTTACTGGGTGTCCATTCCACTGGCTGCAGAGCTGAACTCTTAGAAGAAAAGATGCGGGACACCCTGATGAAGAACTGGGCTAAAGCTCCAGCTTTGCCACTTACCACCTCAGTGAGCAGCTCACTGAATCTCTGATTCTCAGTTTCAACATCTACAAAATGGGTACAGTCACAGCCACAGTGAATTCACTGCTGTCACTAGGATCTGGCGCATTGTGGCACTTAAGTGCCACACCCTGAGGAAAGTGTAACATGTGTATCACCTTGCAGGATGCTGTCCACACCCAGAGAGGGGCATGATATGAATATGGAAGCCCACATGTACAGCGAAGGAAAATGAAGCGGTCTCCAAGAGGACGGAGG